CTCGTAGCACACGATGCCATCGTTTTAATTCTGACTGACACAGCTATGAAGGTTTTATGCACAAATTTATCTTGGAATTATAAGACAGAAAATCTCATCTAGGGGATTTATTTACTCGTCTGCATCTGAACCTCAAGTTTAACTCTGGAAAACGTGCGAATCCCTGACAAATCTAAAATATTTTCACACATTATGCAAAAGACTGACTCCCACCTAGTCTGGGTAGTCTTTTTTTCACTGCACAGGATCAATTTCCTTTATGTTTGAAAACATGCCATGGCATCAATGCAGAACTTCGCCGTATCAACCAAATCGCCTGGATGAAGGTCTTATTAAAAAAAATAGCTGCTGAAAAAACTGCTTCCAGTGCATCATTAAATATCACTGGAGCAGGACTGTTTTTAGTTTTCCTGGTAAACAAAGCAAGTTAGTTACTAACCAGGTATCTCTTCCAGTCTGTGATGCAACAAGGAACAAACTAAGCACTATATTAAAATCCAGCAATTATATTATGGCAGCAAGAAGCAAATTATTTGGATCTAGCTACAAAAATTCAAGGCGACTTGGGTGTCTCCCTCAGAAAATGGAACAAGGCGCAGCAGGAAGTCAGAACAAAAACTGCCAAATATGTCAGCCCCAAGTGCTGAGCAATGAAAAGATGGTTTTACACAGACAAAAATAAAATATGCTCCTGTGCACAAAACTTCATCAAGAGGAACAAACGTGTCCCTTACTCGCACTTCCCTTCTTTATATGATTTTGCATCCCACTGTTCATTTGTAGCAGACTAGCTGACTGTTAAGAGATGCTGATCCAGGCCTGAGCGCAACACTGGCGCTTTACCCGAGAGGCCTCGGTGAGCTGCAGCAGGAGGTGGTTCTCGGGTCAGAGCTGAGTCTGCCATTCACAGAACAAAAACAGATGGAGATGCATAGTAGCACGCACATACTGCAGAACATTGCGCCCACAAATGCATACAAAGGCAGACTAGTGTTAATAGTATATATCTGCTTTAATACGTTCAGTCTGCAAGAGAGGAACAGACGAGATTGATAGACAAAGACAAAAGAATGAACAGATCTAAAAGGAACAAAAATATGAAATGGGAGGGGGGATGAAAGTGCACACAAACAGGGCTGCACATCAGAAAAAGACGCTGTAGCTGCAAACCCCGACAAGAGAAAATGAGAGATAAACAGTAGGAAATGAGATGGAGATTGAGGCAATTCAGATGGTAATCAGAAGTAGTTCCTTTTATCATAAGATTCTTTCATCTTCCAAAATACATGTTTGATAATACATCGGCAAAATGGAAGAGAGAAAATGTGATGCAATTCCTCGACAGGGAATTTGTTTTAGACTGGACAGATCTGAGGTGAGGTAGCGAGGTGGGTGACAAAGAGAGTTCTCTGCCCTTCACAATGTTGTGCCATTGAGTCTGTGTATTCAAAACAGCACTTTCCTTATCTCATGACTAGTTCTTATAACATCTGTTATAACCCTGTATTTGCAAGA